TGGCATACGTTGGTTTGACGTCAGCTTATTATCTAGCCAAATAGGGGCAAATATTGTTTCCCACATTTGATACTTTGTTAAAACATAAATAGTGACCTCTTGGACGTCGAAGAAAGACTGACATTCACATCCTGGTAGTCACCGATTTTTTTTTCATTAATACCTGGCGGGGAATCACGGTTATAATTTTGGCGCTGATCACGTACTCAAAGTATGAGGTAGGCCTACTTAAGCGTATACGGATTTTCAGCAGTTCTTTACCTATAGTGTAATGCCAGTGGCTAGAGTATAAAATCAGATCCAAACTTCTTGAAGAGATCTTGGATACATTAATGACTATAAAGCCCTGACTCTGCAGTCTCTATTGGTCAGAATCTGTTGCTAGTATTCCGGTGGTTACGTAGGTGAATCGCCAGTGTTCGTTTACAACGAAGCCAGTAGCTACTGTAACTCGCGGACAGTACTATTACTTTGGGTTTCATAATTAACGATGTTGGCAGGAGCTCGCTCGTTGAACAATAAAATGTAGAACAGTACAATAATACTGGTTTATTCTGAAAATGAATGGAACAGTGGCCGCACTTGGAAATAGAAACATTACTGATAGCGTATCAGTAATAATAATCAACGGTGATCACCCATGCAGTAAAAATAATTTACTCTGAAACATGAACAGGAAAGTTAGAGTAAAATTATTTTGAACGTGTACATACTTTTGATAAAAGAATCGAAAAAGAGATGAAAGGAAGTACGTCGATGACTATCATAAGCTAACAGGCGGCTGAACGAATTGCAGACTACTTTTGTGTCGAATGTGCGATCGATTATGAACGAATTTTATTCTGATTTAATGGTTACAAGAAAGGACAAGCAGGCAATGGTTCATTAATGAGTATTAGAGTAGCGTAAAAATAGGATACTATAAGTTGTAATTGCCGTTTAGCTGTAAAAAACCATTGGATTTGAAGATTAAACACGTTAGGCAGGTGGATTTTCGATAGAGATTAGGTCCACAGTTTAAACTCAAGAAAATAAGGATGCCACTTGACTATCTCATGGAAATGCCAAGGAAAATCGATTCCACTCGTTATAGGTCTGCCATTGTTTTGCTTCTACAACGGATCATTCGCAAAGGACTGAAAGTTGCATTTTATAGTACCAGTACGGCAGTAAGAAGCGATTCTCGGCAGTTAAGATTTTAATAAAATATAACATGCTAACCAGAGCAAATACTGTCTGATCGTTGACTCTGAAGTTGTGGATGGAACCAGGAAATGTGTCTCGAAAGGGTATTGGGTGCGGACAGACGAGGACAAACCAAGTTAAAAAGCGCTGTGCGATTATATTAGCCGTTAGCAACAAGTTGCTAAAGCTCTGGAAGGACAAATATGTTGACAATGGCACCAAGCTGGGAATATACAGGGCTTGCATCCTCAACATTCCTCTGTGTGGCTTCGAGACGGTAGCAGTGAAGACAGCTGAGAACAGAAATCTGGAAGCGACAGAAATGACGATTCTAAGATCAACATTAGGAATAAAGTGATAGACCTTGTATCAAATACTGTTGAAAGAGGGAGATTAGAAAATCTTACCAAATGACACACTGACCATTGTCCACTTGCGAAGCGAATACTGAACGTAGTCTGATGGCGAGCAGCCTCCATGAAACTGGGAACATCTCTTTGGAATTGAAATGGCATCATAAATACTGAAGTGTAAGCCATTTTGTACATAATAATAAACGCCCTTATCGGTTTGTTAGCATAATTCTTAAAGACGGTATCGAAAATTAGCAGTATGAGATCGGTGTTAATTTTAATGTATAAATATGCCTACGGAAGTGTCGTATCTGCAGGTTTTCGAACAGGCCTTTGTTCGGTCCTGCTTAGAGATGCGGTTGTCCGTCCAGGCACCGCAGATGCTCAAATACCATGGAGCCTTGTCCTGCTTAAATGGTTCCCTAGGCCCCTGGAAGCAAGGGGACGGTGCCGATACGTCGTGTAAATCGGATAATACAAGTGTAAACATTTATTCGACCCAGTTGAAATACGTGTACGGCATTTGGCGCCGTTTTCAATGCTATGGAAACAAGAAGTACAAGATAACACGTCAAAAAACAGCACATTTTTTGCAGCATAATGTGTTCAGATATTCGCTGGGCCAAAACAACGTAAAATGAGACGGAAACAAACCATAGTATATAAAAACGGCATAGTAACATTAAAGTCAAATCCAATGCCGTGAACTTATGGATAGTTTCTCGCAGAGATAAACTGACAAACTTGAAAGACAATTAAGAATCCTGGCCACATGAGCAGTTGTCGTCTTGCGGTAAACCTCAGTTTTGCCTGAGTAAAACTTGAGGACCTTGCCTTTGCAGTAGAAAAGGTTCTCCTTACGAAGCTGTTGACCGTCCAAAGAGAATAGGAGCCGGGACCTGACAAAACGATCCATTAATAGAAGAATATCTTTAAACTAATTCATCAGGATAGGTTAAGACGATACTGTTGCTCAAACTGTACATGATTTGAGATGTGCATGACAACAACAACTTCAAAGGAGTAAATGCGTATCGATATAAATTATTCAATACTTTGTTATACTTTGTCATTTAGTCGTTTTATTCAATTGTCGTATTTTACGACAGTCAAAAAAAACAATCGATGTCAACTTTCCGAAGTCATGCCTTAGACACTTATTCGGGATGGGCTCGGCTGTTCATACGATCCTCTATCTAATGCGATGAGACAGGCGAAAAGGCCTTTATTCACTGTGTCTATGATAATTTTACACTATGTTAATAACCGTGCTTTTATCGTGCATAGTGTGTGCCTGATAAATTTGTCAATTGCTCTATCAATATTAGAATTATGTAATATGATCGATAACGTGTTTTGACGTAATATCATTTGAGTATGTCGCGGCGTCTCTTCCGTTGATTAATGGTTTTTATAAAGCGATTCTTACCGTGGAATTTGGCAAACTCCCGATGAAGAGGTGCAATTAACAACAAATAGATAAAACTAACTAAATGCCCCCCTCGCCCGATCTTCCCTTCTGTTCATCTGCTAGTTTGAATTTAGTTAAACACTTTGATTCATGCAACGGCACATGGTTCTGGAATGTTAAGATATTCATGACGTCGTTTGTTTGCCGCTCTCGAACGACGACGATTCCAACATCATGGGTCCAGTCGACTTTTCCCAGACGATTGTAAATAAATCCGGGATCATTTTCGATGGCACATCGACGATGTCAATCGATTTTTCAGCAGACGACTGCTTTTTTGTGAGGTTGTTTTGGCTTCGTCTTGACTCGCTTGGACGACGCCAATCGCAGGTTTCTTTTCTGACACCCCTGAATTGATTCGTATGAAGGCAGAACAGCGAGTGCCCGCCGCTTCGTGAAATGTTGTTGTTCGTTTTGCCTCGATTCATCATCAACGAGGGCCGAATCTAGTAGCACAGCTGTTTGTAATGTGTCTTTCGCCTCTGGCTATTAAGTTAGAAATTTCCCTCCTTCTTATTAATGGTTTTTCGGCAAACCACAAAAAGTGCGGACAGAACCGGCTTGGAAATATCTGCTGCCGTTGCTGCTCCTTTATACTACTAGTTTAAAATTAGCACTAGGTTTCGTTTCCGTTTTTACAGTACAGTTTTCAAAATTAACTCTGAACTGTGGATACTTTCACTTAACGTTACTTTGTAGTGATAGTGTTTAAATGGTATCAATTGGTCCGTGTTGCAAGCAGTGGTGGAGGCGTCGAAGTTAGCATAAATTACAGTATAGCTTTAATAGGATATACCGGGCAGAACTAGGAAGCGGCGTCTGCCCGATATATCTGGAAGAGTAGTCGTAGAGCATAATGGTGATGTATACACGCAATGAACGCTGAAGAAAAGTTACTTAAGAGTCAGAAAGGACTACTATCGGTAGTTGCAAATGAACGATCGATGCAGGATCTTCCAAATACCGTATACATGCCTGCACGCCTGCACGTCGCAACCGACCAGATCAAATTATTTGATCTTAACCAAATGTTAAAAGGTGCTTAAGTCAAAGTGAGTTATGAGGTCTTTTTACTGGCAGCAAAGATATGATTTAATGTGATGAA